ATTTAGATAAGTGAGAGAAATTTGACGAAGGAATCACTAAAACCAAACTGAATTTTTCCTTGTTCAGGCCTGGCATTCAATAATTCTGTTCATGGCTTTATGCTGGAGTATAAATGTACAACAAATAGTAGGGTTGTTAAATTATGGGATCATAAACACAATAGGAAGAGAACCTGAGTGTATTCTGACAAAGTTACTGAGGAGGAATTATGTGTCAATAAATAATTCAAAAGAAAATGTGGATTCCTTTTGGTTTATTCACAAAAATACAGATTCAGGTTTTATATCTTTATCCGATAGTGAATACCAAACAACTCCATTATTCTCAGCTCATATACTTAAGCATTTCCTACAGATTTGATTGGTTTCAGCTTCCCACTAATTACATTTTTCCTGCCACACTCTATGCCTAAAACTTTTAGGAACTGCACTAGGGCTCCTTTGGACGTCCATTTCCCCAACTTTGTGTGTATGTTACAGATTTCTGGTCTTGGATAGTTCTTCTGTTGCTTGAATGATTTTTTCTCCTAAACTGATGTAAAATCAGCAGGCTTCCCTTGATGGCATCTCCTTCATTTTCTCAACAATCTGATACTAGGGATAAATGGCAAATACACATTCCTTTCTATGCCAGAGTTGCCAAGATGGAGTGACTACCCCCACATGTCTTTCCTCCTACCTCCCCACTCCTTTTCCCTTTCTCTGTATCACCAAGCAAAAATTCCAGATACATTTCTGTAATTCTAGACCTTGGGCGAGATCTCTGTGGTTTTGAGTCTCTGCTTTTTTTTACTTTTGACTTGGAAAATTCCATCAAATGCAGTTTTTCCACTATGAAACTATTCGTTAACAATTTGTAAATTGCAAGGCACATTTACTTTCTCAGGTTTCTTTCCTTTAGAGTATATTGTTTGGCTATTCTCAGGTATGTTCATGCACAGGGAGTAAATAGTAGGGTAAGATAATTTTTAGGGTTTCTTGCTGACAGCTATAAGAGCCCTTGGCCTACTAAACCCCAAAAAAACCACAGCACAGGGTCTGCCAAGGCATTTTAATGTGTCTCATATGTGTCAGGCAGATTGTAAAAGGTGGTATGCATGTGTACAGACACGTGTGCTAAATGTGCATACATATGTCTATGTACATATGTGTATGTGTATATGTGTGCTATAGGTGTGTTCTACACACATGTATGTGTGCATATTTGCATATCTGTATATTCGTGCTTGTGTGTATGTGTTGTGCATGTTTGTGTATGTGAAGTAGAACCAGTTGGTCATTACCAGTTTCACATTGTCATCCATAGTCCTGGGAGGTATCATGTCAACTGCCATGTTGATTCTGGGACAGCAAGCAAAGGTAATTTTGGCAAGATGTTAATTTAAAGAATAAATATTTGAAAGACTGAGCCAAACATGTTCAGGATTTATCCTGGAAAATCAAGGATATTGTTTTGACAGAGAAATTTATATTTTTTCCTCAAGAATAATCCTGGAATAGATAATGGAAATGGGTTATATTTGTCATTTTCTAGGAATTAGACAAAGTACTTAGTAGATCCCAATGAATAAAGCTCTCAAACCTCATATCAGATGCTACAAAGTGGGACTAATATTCCTTCATCTCAGTAGAAGTCTTCCCTTATCATAGATGGGCAGAGGGTGGTTTAAGTGGCACTTATGAGTCCTTTGTATTTCAGGGAAGGCCAGGCAATGATTCTCTCTGGCTTGCCATAGGTCAAACTCAAGTGGATGCCATTGTGCCTAAAGTTATACCAGAAGCAGAGCCAACTGGTAAAGGTAGAGCCATTTGTTCTCCAGCTTCTGCTATAACCTATACTATATCTAGCTTCTGACTAGTAATCAAGAGAACTGGGATTCTATTTGCTTATCTGTGTCCAAGACACATCTGTGTTTAAGTGTATCCATCTGTCTATGGCCATGATTTTTTACTTTCTCACTACAGTATTATCAAGATAAATGTGATTTATTCTCTTCTTGTTTGTGCACACACTACCAGTGTGTGCAAGTAAGTATGCCTGGTGTACACATTTCAGAATAGAACTTGCTTGAGAGCAGCTTTCCAAGGAGTGGTATGCTTCTGCCAAGTAGAATGTAACTGTATAACCTGGAAATTCTTTATTCCTGTTTTTTTTTTTTTGACAGGTCACACTTTTATATGTTGATTTTGTTGGCTGACCCACTCTGTGTTTGTGGCAGGGGTTCCTATAACAGTGAGAATGAAGCCTGGTATTCTTCCTATCAACAGGGCACAGTGCAAGAGGGGTCCTATCCTGATCCTACCCTGGAGAGCATGTTTAGTTGGTGCTGGAACATAAACTGGCACTGAAAATGTTTGCAGAATAAACAAATGAATGAGTGAAAAAATGAGTAAAAGATAAATGAACAGAAGTAGGTACTGGGCTTGGCATTAAGAAACCTATATTTGGAAGCATTTTTGGCTCCTTGGAGAAAAGATGGTTGAGAAGTTCTTAATTGCCTATTATCCAAAATGAGGACACCAGGATCACACTCCCAATGAGGTCTTTATTAATTTAGGACAGTGGTCTTTACCCTTTTTGGGTCACAGACCTCTTTTGGAATCTATGAACCCTTTCTTTAGGAAAATGCACATATTGAACATATACACACTTTTTTGTATATATTTAATTTTAGGGAGCTCTGAGTTCCTCCCTCCCACAACTCATTCATGACTCCTAGGTTAAACTTCCAAATTTAGATACACAGAATTTGGCAGTAAAGTGGCAGAATGGAGAAAGAACAGACTAGGAACTAGACTTCAGTTACAGTCCTGCATCTGTTTCTAATTAGCTCTGAACACAATTTTACTTCTCTAGGTTTCAGTTTTCTCATGTGAAAAAGGGGGGGGATTAGGCTTATTTCTATCCAAAAATTCATCTGGGGTCAACATTCTGGAGGGAGAAGAAGCTGGCAGATTCCACATGAACATCATTCCTTCCACCAAGGTTCTTCTGCAGGTTGCCTCCTTGGTACACATTGCTTTCTTTGTACTCTGAAAAAAAGCCTTCTTTCCCTACCAGGCAGCCTCCTCTGAACTCTTGTGGTACTAATTTTAATATAACTAAAAAATCTGTAGAGACCACAGCTCTCTGGTCATCTCACTTCCTCTTCCTTGCATGGCTCCCTCATAGATATCAAAGAGCACTTCAAACAGATCACCTGGGCAGATGGGAGTGGGGCAGCTGTGAGGCAGGCTGGGGAGGACATCCTGAGACTGCCTATTCAGGTGAACAGATTCTAGCTCATTCACTTTCCTCTTTCCTTTATCCTGAACTGGCATGAAACAGAAATAAACAGTTGTAACCACCACAGGGAGGAACTCTGCAATGTGTTGGCTTTATCTATTCTCAGTTCTTTGCCAACTAATCCAGTATGGTACTAATTTAATATTTTCCTTTGTATTACAACTTTACCATGCTTTTTAAAAGTAAGAACTTTGTCTTCAAATACCTGATACTTTTTATTGAGCAAAAATTTAAAAGCAAATCACCCAAAAAGAATATTCAAATATCTTCAGACAAGCCAGGCATAGTTAATAATTAGTACTGTCCCATTCCCACTGCCTACCCCAAGTGCCTATATCCCATTTTTCTAGGTTTAGAGTCTAACCCCAACATCCAGGGCTTGCACCTCCTTTACAGTTGCTCCACTAAATGGTGATCCAGCCTAATTTTGAATGTCCTAAAACGACCAGGAATTAACTAATTTTTTTTTTTGTGGCAACCTATTGCATCCTTAAATAGCCCTAATTGTGGTCCCAAATCTATATCTCTCTAGCTTTACATCCTGGTGCTACTGTGTGAGATTGACAAGTTAAAAATAATAACATCTTGAGTTCTCTTTGCCAGGCTTTGCTACAAGTGTTTTCCATGTGTCATCTCACTTAATCCTCACAGCAAACATCACTCAAATGTCAACTCAAAGAGGGCAGATTATTTTTTATCTGATTTGTTCACTCTTGTGTCTCCAATCTCTCAAACAGTACATGGGTGATATTAGGGACTCAATAAATATTTTCTGAATTTAAAGACATTTACTATTATTACCCCCATTTTACAGATGAGAAAACAGAGATTCATAGAGAACAAGCACTATGAAAGCTGCAGGGATACTTTAATGGAATTTAAAGGAATAAAGATACTATGAGAATACCATTTGTGTCCAAGAGGTTCTGCCTCAGACCACATCCCTAAGGCAGTGCTCCATCTCATCTGTTCCTATGAGGGATATTTCCAAAATCTGCTTCTAAGGCTGGAAGAAAGTAGTGTCATGGTCCCAGAATGCCACTTACAACTGGGTGGTGGTTATTCAAAATGGTTCTCAAGGGTCTTGTTGATAGCAGTATGTTGTATAAATAACTGTGGCCATGGAGGATGGCATCTGATGATCTCATTTCTAACTGAAGATTGAGGGGGTAAAAGTGGTAGGAAAGACAGGTGCTAAACAAGCAAACACAAACAGAGAAACAAACAAAATTCACAAACTAAACCACAAACACCAAAAAACCTCAAAACTTATGGACTGGAACAATGGAGAGGAATTTTTCATGATGCTTTCCTATATTTTCTCTGGAATAAACTGTACTTCTTTTAGCCTGAGGAGTCCTAGTGCTACTTGTTGGAACATTGCTGGAGGACTAAACAATGCCCTGTTTCAAGTATCATTTTCTTTCTTGCAAACCCCAAGTTCCTTGTGAATTTACATCTTCTGATGAATTTCATGAAGTGAGAGAGTATCATAACTCTTACCTTGGCTTTTCTTATTTTCCTTACGAAGGCCAAGAAATCCCAAGTATCACAGTTTTTAGTTGACCAGGAGAAATATTTCTGATGAGTGGAATATTTTCTTTGGTAAACAAACAACAAACACCAACTCAAAACCAACCAAATAAGTTTCTTTGGTAAAGTGGACATTAATGTCTTGGTTGGAATTAAATAAAGGAAAAAAAAACTTCAAGTGTTTGCTGGAATAATTCCTTCTCTCTTTGTAGCAATTCAAAAATAAAACTTCATGATGTAAAGACTTAAATTTTATGGAAATGTGATTTTGAGATACTTCTAAAGTGTCTTCTCCATGGTGAGGCTAAACCAATGCTGTCAGAGCAATAATCAGTAGTCAATATTAACAAATAATAATTATCTAATAATAAATAACAAATCTTGGCATGCATAGTCCCCCAATAGAAAAAATTCATTTCACAGTCAGAATTTCATAAGCCTTGATTTCAAGTGCTGAAAAGAGAAGTTGACAAGTTTGAAAATGCCCTTCATTAAAAAATACAATATTCTAGGGTATACAGAGACTCAATCAAGTTGGAAAACTACTATCTGTCATAAACCAAAGTTCCATAGTAAGTCGTTCTGGTTGACCAAATTGAATGATTAAATTCTGAACAAAATCCACTTAATTGTTGTGTGTGTTGTGTCAGTTTTGTGGAGTCACTTTAAGCTGTGGTGCTCCATGTGGCTGACACTAAATCAATGGCTGATTTAGAACACACTGTTCAGAAAATGATTTAGCAACATGTGATTTAAGAATAAAACCAATTCCCTCTTCAGTTGTGTTTTATAAATAATAGCCCAGTTGCAGGCCCCTAGGAGAGAGAATTGATTGAAGATCTGTTATGCAAATGCAAACTTGCCCTTTGTGAGGACTGTACTTGTCCTCAGATTAAAGCTCATTATCTTCTTGTTGAGTGTATAACACATTGGTATGATCACTTAGTGTGTCTGCAGGGGAGACTGAACAAGTGTGTAATACACTAGCTACGATCCCTTGCACAGTATTTGGAACTGTATGGAGAACAGTACATGAAACAGAAAGCACAGGTTTCAACGTGGTATTGTTACATGTGAATCATTTGGGCTTGCTTTTTTTTTTCTTTTTTGGCTATTTAGAGAGACAATGGTAAACCTAAATCTAAAACATTAAAAAATATCTGCCTTATGGCCAACAAAGTCCTATGTTCTATCTTAGAAATGTATTTCAAGGGGGCGGGGGGATAAAGCTGTCTTAGGAGTAAACCTAAAATTGATCTTCCTGTCTTCAGCATGCTGAAATGAGGAAATCCTCTAGGGTATGACCTGGGTGAGTTACTTTGTTCTTCTAAGTCTCAGTTTCCCCCTCTGTGGAGGATGAGGAATTTGCACAGCATGTCTGCTAAAGTTCAGAAAGGTAAGATGCTTTGGGGAAATACTTACCACTATAAATATCTGAAGAAGCTACATCTCTAAAAGGGAAAAATACTGTGGAAGTTTGCCTCAAATGTAACTTGGTTTTAGCTTCAGTTTTATAGATTGAAAAAATTTAGGGGTCTGGGGCAGCATACACATCCTCTTCAGGTCAAACCATTTCTGTTTAAATCTATGAACCGTTTCTCTTATAGATACTATAAGTTAACCATGTAAATATCTGGGCTTGTAAATGCATAGAAGGGCCTGATGATGAAGTAGAGGTGCAGTAAAAATGGTGTGTTGGGGGAACCAGAGAGGTGAGGTATGGCCAGTTAGTAGACAAATTTGACTGCTGTCACTGATAGACTTGTATCAATGATCGCTTTTCCAGTAATTTCCATCTGTTTTCCTTTTGTCCCTTTATCTCCCTGCACTTCTACAAAGTTTTTCAGTGTTAGACTTTAGGATTACGGAAGATCTTCCCTCCCCTCTATGTCTCTGAGAAGTCGTGTCTCATAGCAAAGGCAGACTGTTACTGTAAATTGGAAGCTATGGTAGATAACCATTCCTGTGTTTGTTTTTCTTTCCTTAGCTATATGTGGGCAGATGTTGTTTCTGGGTATCCATGCAAAAATGCATATAGGGCCAAACTACAAACAGCTGTACCAGATGGCTATATATTTTTGTTATTAAAATGAAGATACTGTCTCTAGGTTCCAGTAGCCACCCACTTTTTCTCATCATGCCAGGTATTTGAGTTTGGCTCTGTGGTTTTATGTCCCCATAGCCCCCCTGCCAAAATCTGTAACTAATAGAGCAGACCCATTTGGTGACAAGTGACAAAATATTCCAAAATAGAATTGTCCCAATTCTATGATGCTGGAGTTATCATTGGTTTTCAGGTGTATTAAACAAAATATACAAATATTAAAAGTGTATCATTGGGGTAATATGATAAATTAATTCTAGACAACCAAAGTGCCTCATCCAGATGATTTTTAAGTGTGATTCAATTTCAGTTTATGAGTGATGGTCACTACCATGTCTGCTTCCAAGGCTCTGGCTTGCTTTTGCTGGTCAGAACTTTCACAAGCATCTCCTTAGGTGCTGGGGATCCAGTTGAGACAGCCAAGACCTCAAACCATAGACCCTGGTGAGAAGTACTGCTCTGCACAAGTTTTTGGAAGCATTGTTTAGATAATGCTTGAAGCTATTTCTGCCTTGGCAGCTGACCTTTCAATCAGTTGCTTTTATCACAATACTAGCGACATCTGCAGAGTGGATAAAACAGGATCCTGCTCATTAATAAGCTTTCTTCTATTTCATCTTAGCTTAAGAATCTCTAAGTCTCTGAGGGTGTGTGTGTATGTGTGTGTGTGTGTGTGTGTGTGTGTGTGTGTGTGTGTGAGAGAGAGAGAGAGAGAGAGAGAGAGAGAGAATATGTGTGTTTAAATTCTTTCTTATTACAACCCTTTTGTTTTAAAGATTGAAAATATGCCATACCCATTACCCCCCTTGTCCTTTATACTTTTTTTTGCAATGCCTGTTTCTTGTCCTTAAAAATGGGAACAACTTTGAATTTAATTGTTTCATTAACACAATCTCTTTGCTCTTGATAAGACCTAGGGTGAAAATATACCAAACAGACACTATCACACTGTTGTAATTTGGTCAACCACTCGGGTACTATCGATATCCACCATTTCTACACACTCAATTTCCTCCCGGTTTTCAGGATTTTTCTTCTCTTTCCTTTTTTTCTTAGAGGGTGGCAGGAAAGTCAGTATCACAGGTAAAATGGCAAAGCAGTGAAAGAAGGTGACAAATGCTATTAAAAACAAGCACCTGAACAGTGTACAGGTCAGATTTGAAGGCACAGCTGCAAGAGGAATCAGACCAACAATATAGCAGAGGTAACTCTGTAAAATAGCTACCCCATGTATTTCTAGGGCATTTTTTACCCATTTAGTTCTTGTGAAATCCTTGCCCAGAACAAATGTGGATAACAGTGGAGCACAATTGTCAATTGTGTAGTTAATTCCATAGATTAAGCATAGCACGGAAATGCAGTCCAGTTCTACCTTCCATAATGTCATGAAACCTATCACTCCAAACTCCACAGACACAACTGTTAGAGTTATCCAGACATTAATCAGAGAATCTGCCACCAGGAATGCCGAGAAGAAGAGCAGGAACAAAGCACTGATGCAGGAGTTGTGCAGGGGGGCTCCCAGAGAGGAGGCATATCGATCCATGTACACAAAAGATGGATTAAAGACGATGAACTTCACTTTGGAGGTGACTGAAAGTCTCCTCAGGGTCTCCAAGAGATCATAGAGTTCTTCTCTGTTTGTTTCCATGGTCTTGGCCACCAAAAACATTCTGGAGGCCACAACATCAACTTCATCATTGTACTTTTTAGAGAAGATGATGTCCTCTTGAAAATGCGAAAATTGGGGGGCTTTCAAGAAGGAATTCCTCAACATGTCTGTGAAATTTTTCTTAGTCAAGCCAGTGGATACATTGAGTTTCCGAAGGTAATTTAAGTAGCTTTCAAACCAGGATATCCGCACAAACCCCTTGGTATATTCTAGAACGTCTTCCTGGACACTAGTGTTCCAGTATTCTATGGACTCATATATGTAAAACCCAATCACAGGACTGTAGTTGCTAAAGTACTTTTGCTGGGCAGTAGTATACTCAATGGTTTGTGTCGCAGTTGCTACGATGTTACTAAGGTCTGACCCTTCGCTGACCTGCAGATAGCCCATTAAGGCAAAGGAAATATAAATAAGGTAAAAGAGAACTACAAAAGGCTTGACATAGGTGTTGGTTATCCAGTCACAGTAATAGCGTTTGAGGAAACATACCAATAGGTGACTCTCGTAAGTGTTCGCTTCCTCTCCTTCAGCTGTTTCTTCACTGAATCTGGCTGTCAGGAGAAACCTGTACCATGCCGGCTTCTCCTGCAATACCTCAGGCTTTGGGACTTTTCTACAGAAGATACTATGCTGGTAATTGTTTTCTATGTAGCCAGTGAACACCAGGCTGGAACCATAAAACGAGAGTACATAGAGGTAGTTGAAGAAGATTGCAATACAGGAATTGCAGCAGAAAATCCTGGCTGCCTCAATGTTTGTGAAAGGACTGGCCCCTATGCCAAAGGTGACCAGGTACATGGCAGTGGTGAGAGAAAAGGAGAGCATGGAGTCTGCATAGACTGCTGCAGTTCGCTCCTTAACATGTTGGTCTTCTCTAGTTTTCCTCCAGGAGGATAACATTTCAAAAGTCCCATATAGTCCATGACCTGAGGGGGGCAGAAAGAGACCAGAGCAAAAAGTTTAAAGAACTAATCTCTTTTAAAAGGGGAACCAAGTTGATCATGAGAAATATAACTATGCCCAGGTGGTGGCAGGTATGTAAATGCCAATGATTTGTCCTATTGGGAGAGAGATCTGTGCTTTGATGAATCATAAGCATCAATGGATGTGAACAGGCAGCAGGAGGAGCAAGAATCTTCCTTCATGTTCCCTTCTGGCTTAATAAAGCTGGATGAACCTTTGCCTATAGAAATCTGAATAGACTTATCCGTATGTCTCTTGGGAACTATATACATTAATAGCTTAGGGTTGTTGGCACAGTTTGGCTGGACACTAATCATTCTTTTCTACTCCCATAGGTCTGGCTAGGCATCAGCACAGAAGAAGGCAGTGGTCAGAGGATTTTGAGTTAATGTCCCATCACTTCTTTTAAAATTGGCCAAATAGGGGGTTTTAGTGAGAAAGAGACTCTGTATTTAGTTTGAGTCTTGACAGGAAACTAAATCATAACCTCTTTTTTTATCCTTCCCCAAATATCAGGGCAGGAAGCAATAAATCTGAGAAACAGAGGGAAGCAAAATAAGTAGGAACAAGTTTGAATGAAGAGGAAAGAGGGAAGAATATATAGAAGGAACAAGATTCATATGAACTCTCCCTCCTATTGTTAAAAATTAGAGTTCAGACTGAAGGTTTATGACTTGCATTTTGTCTTTAGGGATTTGTTTGATCAATTTTGGTTGTTCATAGATGACACATCAAGCACGCAGTGACTCTGCTGGCTTTTCTGTACTGTTTGGCAGTGGCCTCTGTGGGAGAGAGCCAGGTCAGTAACCTCTTTCCTTAACTGCTTAGTGCCTCTGCCTCCCTGATTAGTATTCCAGCAACACTGAAATAGCAGAGGTACAGTAAGGGTCCATGTTCTGACTCAATTCTTCTCCCTGAGAGATCTAACATGACTTCTGCCACCTTTCCTAGCTGGAGCCAAACACTTCCATGCTGTACCTCTCTGGGTTTCCAGGCCACTGCAGCACTGGAAAACCCACCAGACTGACCTGTTGCAGCTTTCAATAACTCCTGTCTTGGCACTGGAATCAGCAGATCTAATTTTCTGCTTCCATGCCTTGGCATATTCACTCCCATTATTGAGGATAATAAAACCTTTACACTGTGGTACAATAGTCTTGTTTTTAAGAAGGAATTTAAAATATTCAGCCAAGCATAATATGAGTGAAGTGAGTCACTGTTATCTTGTGTGTACAATAATCAAGCACACATCTTCTCTTGTGCTCTGCCTGGTATTTATATTCTTATTGTGAAGTCCTAACCTCAAACCTGAATGCCTATTTCATAGTAATGAAGACTTGTTTCCTCAGTGGGATTTGGCATTTATCTTAATTTACAGCCACTTTTGGAGTTCAGGTCAAGACTATCAATTTCATAACTAGCACCATGGCCTCTATTAAATTGGAGGCATATAAACTGTCAGACATGAAGGAAAAAGTGCACTTGTTGACTGGCAACCTGTTGTTAATTATGTTTTAGGTAGTTAATGTCTATTCTCAGGAGAGAAAACTATTAAATCTGTTTCCACTGCAGGATGGACCAACTAACTTTTCATTACAAGTAGACCATTCCTTGGCAATGAGTTGATAAAAAGAGTTAAAAATACTTCTGAGGCATAGCACTCTGGGGGAATGATATTGACCATTTAATATGGAGACATGTAGAACAAGTAAGCTTTGAAAGGTAAAACACACTTCAAGAAGCTGCTGAAATGGCAAATACTTTTTGTAGTTTTTACTTGCTAGAAACAAAAGAGTAGTTTAAAACAAGGCTGTAATACTTACTCATTAAATACGATAAGATACACACAGAAGAATTAAAAATAATCATATAGTAGAATTTAAACTAAATCTGTTTTGTAGTCCTTTTTAAAATCAGTATGATGTTTTATGATGACATTATCTGACTCCGAGTCTTGTTGGAAAACACACTAAGAATCCCTTTCTGACCTCACTGTTGAATAATCTTAGAAGTTAATTGAAAACATAAATTTGAATTAACACAGCTATTAGATGACAAGAGTGAGGGTCCAGAATGAAAATACTCAAACTCAAGGAAAGTTAGAAATAGGCTATTAATTTGTCTCTTGAGTTGCTGCATTTCAAATGCTGGTCCTTCTATAGTTTGATCTTTTTTTTTAATTGAGTCCTGACTCTTTCTGCATGTTTTTAGTTCTAGGGTAGCTTCAAAGAGGATTCTAATTTTATTTCTAGGGACTTTTGGTAAAATGCCTTTCCTTCATTCCTCTTGCTAGGTATATGTGTGCAGATCCTCACAGAGCCAAGAACAGGCCCTGAGAAAGAATCTTCTATCTGATCACTCAGCATTTGCTGCTTATCCTTGGCCTTGCCACCAAAGACCCCCTGCCCATTCCTGATAGTACAGATATTTTTTCTCAAGCACACCTCTCTGGTGTATATATATATGTATGTATATATATATATATATATATATATATATATATATATATATATATACACCCTAAACCCCAAACTGGAGATGTGCAGTGTCTTAGTAGAGCCCTTTGGATTTCTAGGACAATTGCTGATGCCATAACTGAACCTTCATCCTGTAGCTCAGTCAGTCATGTGAGGGATGAGTGCCAACAGCTGCAGGTACCTCTTAGGGATTAACAGCCTGGAGTGCCTTGCTGGCACTAAACCTGGCTCACAACTGAGTATTTATGCTGAAGAGTTCAGTCTACCACCCTAAAGGAAAACTAAACTGTAAAGACCCTGTTTCTTGGCTTGAACTCAAAGAGAGACACATTCCAAGAACCCTAGGACATGAGAAATACCCTCCTTATCCTCCATACTATTCACTGCCTCCACCCACACACCAATACCTGCTCTTCTGGGAATTATAGCTGAATTCCCTTTGGCCTTCAAAGCTATCCTTTTAAATACAAACTTCTCTTGGAAATGGTCTACTGAAGCAACTTCCCTGTAGGTCTGAAAAATGAGACAGAGAATGGGGATGGGGAAGGAGTGAAGACAAAATGGTGGTGATGGGTATATAGCTCAGTGGTAAAATGCTTGACTAGCATGTGTAAGACCCTGGGTTCAATCCCCAGCACTGGGGGAAAAAGGAAATGGCAGGTGAGAGAATTTCACAGAATAGCCTCTTCACAGTTTTTCCTCTGGTCAGTCTTGCCCTTACTTTAACATCCATCCCAGAAACTGGGCAAATCAGTCAAGGCAAGACAGAGAAGAAAATTTTGATAGTTTCTGTTCCTTTCTACTTTCTTCTCTCAGATGGTGGGTCCCTCCTTCAGCATTTCCATTATCCACAGTACTCTTAACCTTGGAGCTGGAATCCAGCAGGCAGGACTTTGAGGCCAAATATTATAGATGTAGGCAAACATACTGCATGTGGACTGAAGATACTTTTCTGAGGTTTGACTATTGTTTCCCTCACTTTAAAAAGGCACTTTTAAAAGTATTACTGTTTGTTTTGTACTCTAGTAGATTTCTATGAAGTAGGAGCTCTATAAGATTCTCTGTTAAATCTGACTAAGGGTCCTGTATCATTGGCACAAGGCATCAGTTGTGACATCTGTCCCAAGTCTGTTCACAAGGATTTCCTAGTAACTGAGTTTACAGAGATAGGCATGGGAAGCTGCCTAAACACAAAGTTCCAAGTAGATTTTTATGTTGGTGACCAGAGGCTCTATGGTAGTAATGGAAATCATAGCTCATTATCAAGGGGGTAGGTCACAGCTAGAGATTGGGAGTAAAAGACTATATTATAGTGAGGATTTCAGGACCCATCATATCCCAAGATATTCCTCCTCTTACAGTCATAGTAAAAGCTGATATGTTGCCAAAGGGAACTGTTAAACAAAACATATGTAATCTATCAAATTTTGAAGATAGAGACTTGCTTGTCTTTTAAAAGCACATTCAGGATGTTTCTATTTTTATTACATGGAATGTCTGTATTGTTATGTACATTGGAACACATGCATATCACTATGCGTTAAGACACACACACTCACAGATTCAAGTTCTAGTTATTCATGGGTGATTGCTTTGACGCATCATGGGCTTTTAGCCAGGCCCTGGGGTAAGGATCATAGAGCTCTTCACTAATGTTCAGATACAACTTGGGTCAGAAATACGATTTTAAAAAGGAAACTGCTTTTATTAATTTTATTAGAGGTAGACTTTGGGACTGCCATCTAGTAAAATCAAATGCTAAAGAATTCAAGCTATAATTTTTCTTCTTTTCAAAGATACTTTTTGTATCTGTATGTGCAGTGAACTTTGAGGCTTTGGAGCTAATGAAAAGAAAAAAAAACAGCACAGATGATAATTAACATTGCTGGTGGAAGAAACTCAACTAGCTAATCCTCCAGTCACTTAGGGAAACTCTCCAGCAGACTCACAGATTAAATCTCTCTTCACCCAGACTCTCTTCTGGGGTCTGGCCAAAACCTTCAGGGTTGTTTATTAATCCACTAAGGCAGGAATCCACTAACAAATAGTCGAGAGTTAACCTAACTTTACCCAGTAGACACGATTGTGGAAAGTTGTTCATAAAGTGAATTGCGTTTTAAATTTATTTAATGGTTTTGCTATGAGAGGCAGTTTGGGTAATTTGTTTTGTCAATGAATATCCATAAGCAAATTGATCTAGTTTGTATATCTGGATTTTGCAGGTATGATTTTTCTTCAGGCTCAGATTCTCCCACCTTCCCCAGTTCACACAGACATAGCACAGAGGCTGATTGATGCCTTTTGGTGCTCTGCACATTTTAATCCCTTTCCTACTCGCAGGATTTCCTCAGCTTGAATGGCTGAGAAGATGAGGAGGTGAAGTGAGATGGCTTGCTGATGGATGATCTCTCAGTTTCAGTTCAAAAACATTTAATATCATGAGACAATGAAGCTATTTATAGCATGCCTGGGGGGTACCAAATTTT